ATAGCAGTAGCACCTTTAAAAAAACGTTGTTGATGGCTAATCATTAGACCTTGGAGAAAGGGATTTCTGGTTTCTACCTTTCTTTTTTCTTTTGTTTTGTTTTGTTTTTGAGATGGAGTTTCACTCTTGTTGCCCAGGCTGGAGTGCAATGGGACAATCTCGGCTCACCGCAACCCCTGCCTCCTAGTGAAAATAGATTTAGGAATTTAAGTACCTTTAGATTTTTAGACTTAAAGAACTTAGAAATTCTTAAACTTAGAAATAAATAGGCTTAGAAACTTAGAAGCTTAGAAAAACAACCGCCCTTAAAAACAGCATCCACCCAATGACCAGGTGGTCATCTAGAGCATCCACCCGATGACCAGATGGCCATCTCAAGCACCCGCCCGATGCCCTGTGGCTATCTAAGATACCCACCCCAAATTCCTGGAACCCAAACAGAAAAGCAAGTCCAGGAAACATCCCGCGCGGGTTCAAACTGGGTTCAAACTGACCAATCAGAGTGAAACGCTTTAGCCTGCTCCAATCCCCTTGCGCCTCAAGCTTTGTAAACATCTTTGTAGTTTTTGTATAAAAACTGTGTGTAACAAGCATTCGGGGTCCTGTGGCCAACTTCGGACATAGGACCCTAGCGCGCTAGTAATAAATCTCTCCGCTGTGACTTCCGTGTCGAGTGGTCTCTCGCGGCGACCCCTGCCCAGGAAGAAATCTAAAAACTAGGTTCCTACACTAGTTCAAGGATTCTCCTGCCTCAGCCTCCCAAGTAGCTGGGGCTACAGGCATGTACCACCACGCCTGGCTAATTTTGTATTTTTAGTAGAGATGGGGTTTCTCCATGTTGGTCAGGCTAATCTCAAACTCCTGACCTCAGGTGATCTGCCCACCTCGGCCTCCCAAAGTGCTGGGATTATAGGCATGAGCCACTGTGCCCGGCCATTGGTTTCTACCTTTCTGAACAAATGTATTACTTTCTCTTTGTAGTGTACATATGAAGATTGAAGAAAAGATCACATTAACCTGTGGACGAGACGGAGGATTACAGAATATGGAGTTGCATGGCATGATCATGCTTAGGATCTCAGATGACAAATATGGCCGAATTCGTCTTCATGTGGAAAATGAAGATAAGAAAGGGGTGCAGCTACAGGTGTGTAGAAGCTTTTGATAGGGAGTGTTAACACTTTGTCTACCTATTATAGTCTTTGTCAACTAGAGTTCCCAATATGAACCACAGAAAATTATTTAAGTTACATAACTAGCATCACTCTAAATGCATAGGAAAGAAGTTGATTTATTGCATACAGTAGCTACCTGAGAGTGAGTAAAGCAGCTGTGTTAGGATGGCTTTTAAATATTGGAACTGAATAAAAGGTCATTTTGAAATCTAATAAATGACTTCATACTCACTAGCAAAAGGTACAAAGAGATGTTTATTTTTTGCTGTTATGAAAACAGTAAATTGGCCGGGCACGGTGGCTCAAGCCTGTAATCCCAGCACTTTGGGAGGCCGAGGCGGGTGGATCACGAGGTCAGGAGATCGAGACCATCCTGGCTAACACGGTGAAACCCCGTCTCTACTAAAAATACAAAAAACTAGCCGGGCGAGGTGGCGGGCGCCTGTAGTCCCAGCTACTGGGAGGCTGAGGCGGGAGAATGGCGTGGGCCCGGGAGGCGGAGCTTGCAGTGAGCCGAGATCGCGCCCCTGCACTCCAGCCTGGGCGACAGAGTGAGACTCCGTCTCAAAAAAAAAAAAAAAAAAAAAAAAAAAAAAAAAACAGTAAATCACTTAGGATCTTGCTTGAAATAAAAAAAAAAAAAAAAAAAAAAAAAAAGAAAACAGTAAATCACTTAGGATCTTGCTTGAAATATAGTTTTTTAAAAAACAAGGCTTTAAGACAGGTGTGGTGGCTCACGCCTATAATACCAACACTTTGAGAGGCTGAGGCCAAAGGATCGCTTGAGCCCAGGAGTTCAAGAACAGCCTGAGCAATGAGGGCTGAGCAACAAGACCCTGTCTCTACAAAAACTTAAAAAATTAGCCAGACATGGTGGCACAATGCGAAATTTACTCATTCTGCTATTAAACTACCAGTGCTTGTTTTGTTAACTGAAGGGCAGTATCTAATGATGTATTTGAAAAGTACATAAAATCCTTTCAGTATAAGTGTGTGTGTTCCAACTATTGGATAGATATATATATAAGCCCTTCTTTATGTTACAGGTGTTCTTATCACATTTCATTTAGCTTAACATCTCATCACAAGAACAAATCTTTTTTAGGGAAGAGTGTTTTTGTCTACTTTCCCTCCTGTAGTCAGCACAGAATTGTCTTTTGGAAGCAGTGCTTATATTATTTGACAACATTTTTGCTGGCTTGTAAAGTGCTATCCAAAAGTGATTTCTGTTTTTTTGTTGTTGGTTTTTTTTTTTTTTTTTCCTGAGATGGAGTCTCTCTGTCGCCCAGGTTGGAGTGCAGTGGTACGATCTTGGTTCACTGCAACCTCTGCCTCCCGGGTTCAAGCAGTTCTCCTGTCTCAGCCTCCTAAGTAGCTGGGATTACAGGCACCTGCCACCACGCCCAGCTAATTTTTTTAATTTTTAGTAGAGACGGGGTTTCACCATGTTGGCCAGGCTGGTCTCAAACTCTTGACCTCATGATTCGCCCACGTCATCATCCCAAAGTGTTGGGATTATAGGCATGAGCCACCATGCCCAGCCCTTCTGGGTATTTTTGTTTTTGTTTTTGTTTTTGTTTTGTTTTGTTTTGTTTTGTTTTTTTGACACAGAGTCTCTCTCTGTCATGCAGACTGGAGTGCAGCGGCACAACCTTGGCTCGCTGCAGCCTCAACCTCCTGGGCTCAAGCAATCCTTCCCTCCTCAGCCTCCATAGTAGCTGGGACTATAGGTGGGCACCACCACACCCAGCTATTTATTTATTTATTTATGTATTTATGTATTTATTGAGACGGAGTTTCACTCTTCTTGCCCAGGCTGGGGTGCAATGGTGTGATCTCGGCTCACTGCAACCTCTGCCTGCTGGGTTCAAGCCATTCTTCTGCCTCAGCCTCTCAAATAGCTGGGATTACAGGCATGTGCCACCATGTCCGGCCCCAGCTAACGTTTGTATTTTTAGTAGAGATGGGGTTTTGCCATGTTGGCCAGGCTGATGTCAAACTCCTGACCTCCAATGCCCCGCCCACCTCAACCTCCCCAAAAACAATTTCTTTTAAAAAGATAAGACTATCTTAATTGGCTTGGATTTTAACAACTTTAAGTCTCTAGGCAAAATTGCAACTAGACTTTACACAGAGCTTGCCCTTTTCTGCTACTTTATATAAGGCCAAAAATGCTATTTGACCCAGGCAGCTGATCAGGGTCTTACTAGAGCCTTCTGCTTGGCAAACCTGGCCCCACCATGAACCTGCTCCATGTGAAGTATTTTTGGAAAGCACTTGGTTAATGGTCTTTTAACTTTTTCAGGTGCAAACTTGTTCTATGATGACTTTTAGAGTTGAAATTATTTTTTTTTTTTAATTACTGGTTTTTAAATATCTTAAATTATTTTAAAAGTCTTTGAAGAAGGGAAATCTTTCTTCAAAATGAAAAAGAATTGGAATTTGTTAGGTACTGTATTTTAGATGTTTGGATTATGGGCCATATAAGCCTAGAGAGGGGTTGTTTCTTATCTGTCTGAACCTCAGGAGTTTTCCTTTCCTTCTCATTCTAGACCCATCCAAATGTGGATAAAAAACTTTTCACTGCAGAGTCTCTAATTGGCCTGAAGAATCCAGAGAAGTCATTTCCAGTCAACAGTGACGTAGGGGTGCTAAAGTGGAGACTACAAACCACAGAAGAATCTTTTATTCCACTGACAAGTAAGTGTCTCTGGCCAGTCCCACTAAGCTAGTTTGCATTGAGAACTGGAAATAGCCCTTGCTTTGTACACTTTTATTTTTATTGCCATAGCAAAGTTCTTTTTGACAAAATGACTTTCTTTTGAAATGGACCTGGTGCTGCATTTTGTATATTTTTATCATTAGTTTTCATTTTTACTAGCTTTTATTTTGAAACCATTGTGGTTTTGTTGTTATTGTTTTAGAGACAAGGTCGTCTTCTGTTGCCCAGGCTAGAGTACAGTGGGGCGATCATAGCTCACTGCAGCGTCAAACTCCTGGACTCAAGCCATCCTCCTGCCTCAGCCTCTTGAGTAGCTGGGACTAGGACTACAGGCACATGCCACCACATCCAGCTAATTTTTTTTTTAAAAGACACAGACTCCCTCTGTCTGTGACCCAGGCTGGAATGCAGTGATCATGGCTCATTACAACTCCTGGGCTCAGCTGATCTCCCACCTCAGCCTCCTGAGTAGCTAGGAGAACAGGGAAGTGCCACCACCCCTGGCTTTTTTTTTTTTTTTTTTGGAGAGGTGGAGTCTCACTTTGTTGCCTAGGCTGGTCTTGAACTCATGGCCTCAACCAATCCTCCCACCTCGATACTACCACCTTGGTTGTCTAAAGCGCTGGGATTATAGGCATGAGCCACCACACCCAGCCATCTTTTTCTAATATTCTAGTATGACTGCTTTGCTTTCTTCTCAGTTAATTGCTGGCCCTCGGAGAGTGGAAATGGCTGTGATGTCAACATAGAATATGAGCTACAAGAAGATAATTTAGAACTGAATGACGTGATTATCACCATCCCACTCCCGTAAGTGCTGTCCCCGTGTCCCCTATGTTGGACTTACAGAACTGGTCTTTTGGAACTCATTTTGGAGTCAGCACCTACCTGACCTGACGGTCCATTCAGAGATAATTGATTCTTTAAAAAGCTAGTTGTGAAAGAAGCCAGATATAAAAGACTGCATGTTATGTGATTCCAGTTCTTTGACTTTCTGGAAAAGGTAATACTATTGAATAAAAATGAGGAGGTAGAGAAGAAGGTACTTCACTTCAGAGGGGCACAAGGGAACTTTTGGGAATGATAGGAATGTTCTAGGACTTGTGTTTGCTTTGGCAGCACAGGTACTAAAATTGGAACCAGAGAAGATTAGCATGGCCCATGTGCAAGGCTGACATACAACTTTACAAAACATTTCATATTTGTAAATAAGTAAAGCAAAGAAATTTTTTTTTGAGAGTCTCTCTCTGTCACTGGAGGTCACTGGCACGATCTCAGCTTACTGCACCCTCCACCTTCCAGGCTCAGGCTATCCTCCTGCCTCACCCTCCCGAGTAGCTGGGACTGCAGGCGCATACCACCACGCTTGGCTAGTTTTTGTATTATTTGTAGAGATAGGGTTTTGCTGTGTTGTGCAGGCTGATCTCAAAACTCCTGAGCTCAAGTGATCTGCCCGCGTTGGCCTCCCAAATGCTAGGATTATAAGCGTGAGCCACTACACCCAGCCAAGAATTGTTCTGTGACTTGATTGTGGTGGTGCTCACTGCACACACTTGTTGAAATACATTGAGCACTTTGAATGGATGGATTTTACTGACTTTAAAACCAAATTGAACAAACAAGCCAGTTGTAGATCTGGAGCTGTTTTTATTTTTTATTTTTATTGGAGACAGAGTTTTGCTCTTGTTGCCCAGGCTGGAGTGCAGTGGTGCCATCTCAGCTTGCTGCAACCACCACCACCTGGGTTCAAGTGATTCTTCTGCCTCAGCCTCCTGAGTAAGTGGGATTGCAGGCATGTGCCACCATGCCCAGATAATTTTTGTATTATTAGTAGAGATGGGGTTTCACCATGTTGGCCAGGCTGGTCTGAAACTCCTGACCTCAGGTGATCCACCAGCCTTGGCCTCCCAAAGTGCTGGGATTACGGGCGTGAGCCACCGTGCCTGGCTGTTTTTATTTTAATTTTTTTGAGACAGAGTCTCACTCTGTCACCCAGGCTGCAGTGCAGTGGTGCAATCTTGGCTCACTGCAACCTCCACCTCCCAGGTTCAAGAGATTCTCATGCTTCAGCCTCCCAAGTAGCTGAGATTACGGGCATGTGCCACCACGCCCAGCTAATTTTTTTTTTTTTTTTTGAGATGGAGTCTCGCTCTGTTGCCGGCTGGAGTGCAGTGGCACGATCTCGGCTCACTGCAACCTCTGCCTCCTGGTTCAAGCAATTCCCCTGCCTTAGCCTCCCAAGTAGCTGGGACTACAGGCACAGGCCACCACACCCGGCTAATTTTTTTTGTATTTTAGTAGAGACGGGGTTTCACTATATGGGCCAGGATGGTCTCGATATCCTGACCTTGTGATCCACCCGCCTCAGCCTTCCAGTGTGCTGGGATTACAGGCATGAGCCACCACACCCAGCCTAATTTTTGTATTTTTAGTAGAGATGGGGTTTCACCGTGTTGGCCAGGCTGGTCTCAAACTCCTGGCCTCAAAATGATCCACCTGCCTTGGCCTTGCAAAGTGCTGGGATTACAGGCTTGAGCCACTGCACCTGGCCTGGAGCTGTTTTTAGATGTTGGCCCTCAGCTTGTTTGTGTAGTAATGAAGGTTTCCAGAAGGAGGAGCCATTTCTCAGTCAAGCTTTCTGTTTTGCAGCTTTCAAAGAAATTGAGTCTATCAGGCTGAATGTTTTATTTTCACGTGCTTTCTAAACTTTCACTAAAGATGAGAGTGTGTTCAAGGGAACTGTTGATTCTTGTTAAACAAGATGTCTACATTAGTTACAGTAAATTTCCTAACAGCCCTTTTGGAGCATAATTTATATACAACAAGCTACACATTTTAATTGTGCAGTCTTGGCATGTTTACACCTGTGAAACCACCACCATAATCAAGATAACAAAAATGTCTTTCAACCCCAGAAGTTGAGTTCCAGTAAGCTTTTGTTGTACACCCTAAGTGTCCCACTCTCTAGGATCATCTGGAAATGGTCTCTACCTTACCTGTTTAGTAGCATTTCCAGTGAGCATGCAGTTATTACTTCACCAGTAAATCCTAGCTCCTTTCACCTGCCCATCAGCCCTCATGATTAAGCATAGGGTCTAATTATGAGTACCAGTAAGTGTATCCTTAGTGTATCTTTACTGTTATATTGCTCAGTTATTGCTGCAGAGAAAATGGTACTAATTTAATTCATATTTTTCTTCCTTTTTTGATAATTCAGGCCTTTACATTATCAGGTCTGGTTTTAGTCATTCTTAGTTCCACTTTTTAAAACATGCTTTATTACTAGTATCCCCTTTAATGGGTAACCATCTTATCCTCTACAGTATGGTTATTGCTTCAGAACAGTAGATGGCTGCCTTGGACCGTTGTAGGACTTGGGCGTTGGTGACAGGTAGAGTTTTGTTTGTCAAGATTTCGTTTACTAGACTATTTATAGAATGCCACAATTTTGAGGCCTGTCTACCCTATAATTGTGGTTGTGGTGGTTTCCTGTATTCTAGTTCAGTTTTGCAATGGTCTCCAGAAGAGACCCTTACACAACATTTTACTCCCATTGTCTAGAACTGATCAAATTAGAAGAGATCAGAATCAGAATTAGAGCAAGTGCACAGAGAAAGAACATAAAAGAACCAGGACCCTGAAATTGATAGGGAATAATTAATAGTCTTACGCCACTCGTAAAGTTTACTTTGTCTCCCTTATTTACCCTATCCCTAATATAAACATTGAGTGTCACTGGTGAATTAAAAGCCAGTAAATTTAGAATGTGTAGGAGTAGGTGACACTGCCTGTCAGCCGTGTGTAGGGGTGCAGAGTAAATCTTAACTAGCCCTGCTTCTCTTGCAGATCAAGGACAGCTATGGATCTGTTTCTCCCATCATGTTTCCATTTACCCCAGGGGTAATTGTGCTTTCACTTATCAAATAAAAGTCCATTTACTGGATTGTAAATCAAATAAACCCATTGGTGTCAACTTCAGTAAGTTTGAAACATTCTGAAATCTTTAAAAACAAATTCTCGGCCAAGTGCGGTGGCTCATACCTATAATCCCAGCACTTTGGGAGGCCGAGGCAAGCAGATCACAAGGTCAAGAGATTGAGACCATCCTGGCTGACATGTTGAAACCCTGCCTCTACTAAAAATACAGAAATTAGCTGGGCATGGTGGTGCACACCCGTAGTCCTAGCAACTTGGGAGGCTGAGGCAGGAGAATCGCTGGAACTGGGGAGGCAGAGGTTGCAGTGAGCTGAGATCGCACCACCGTACTCTAGCCTGGCGACAGAGCGAGACTCTGTCTCAAAAACAAAACAAAATAAATTCTCTCAGAGGCCTCCATTCATCTTCATTATTGATGTTTAGAGTTTCCCCCCAAATCAACCTGCTTGTTTCCCTATTGTTCCCTATAAAGAGTGCTACATTATGTTAAAATTCCTTATTTACAAGGCAGCAGGGTTTTTGGAAACATAGCCATCTTAACACATTTGTTGGTCGCAGTCCCCAGATCTAGTCCATAAATTGGAGCAGCCATAGACATATCTGCCAAATACCTAAATACCTATTTTTGCATATTAACTGTATGTACAGAGGGAATTGAGTGAAACTCTTAGCCAAGGCGCTAGGACTTCATCGTTTGATCCCTGAAGTTATTAGGGAGCCTTTTTTTTTTTTTTTTCCTGAAATTGTAGTCCTAGAAGGCAGAATTTGAGGATCGTAATCAAATTTGGGGTTGGTTTTCCTTGGTAGAGTTCCAGCTCTGAACAGCTACCTTGACCAGAATGTTTCTTACAACAGGTCTGGTGTCGGCGCGCCTGTTATCGGTGAGATCGATGGGGAGTATCGACATGACAGTCGACGAAATACCCTAGAGTGGTGCCTGCCTGTGATTGATGCCAAAAATAAGAGTGGCAGCCTGGAGTTTAGCATTGCTGGGCAGCCTAATGACTTCTTCCCTGTTCAAGTTTCCTTTGTCTCCAAGAAAAATTACTGTAACATACAGGTACTCCATTTTAGTTGAGAACATGTATAGGGAAAGTGGTAGGACAGTAGGAACATGTATAGGATGCCAGACAGGTAGCATGGCTTTTTGTAGTCAGATAAAGCTCAGAAAAAAGCTGATGTCTTCTACAGGAATTCCCTTTCTAATTCATTGTGTGATCGTGGTCAAATTCTTTATCGCTTTACCTCAGTTTTCCTCTCTAGATCAGACAAAGTAAAGAAATTGAATATTAATACGTAAAAAAGTACTTGTGGATTGTGCAGGGTTCATAAACACTTAGTTGCATGTTTTTTTTAACCTTATATATTTTAAAATTGATTTGCCAAAACACCCAACACATGGTTTTTTAAGGCCTTGCTGTCACTTGATTTATAACCAAAGAATGAAAGTTTTTTTATTTGGAAGACAAAATTCCTGCAAAAAAAAAAAAAAATTCATTCTATTACAAATGGAAATTATTTGGGAGTTATTTATGTCACAGCTCCCTTTATTAGTACAAATAATCATGAGCCAATTCTGTTGCAAACTCTGTCCTTTAGGTAGGCAAAGCAATGGAAATGTGTGAACTGTTCCTTCGGGTTTTTTTTTTTTTTTTTTTTTTTTTTTTAGATTGAATTTTGCTCGTTACCCAGGCTGGAGTGCAGTGGCACGATCTTGGCTCACCGCAGTCTTGGTTTCTCCATGTTGGTCAGGCTGGTCTCGAACTTCAGACCTCAGGTGATCCACCCACCTCAGTCTCCAAAACTGCTGGGATTATAGGCGTGAGCCACCGTGCCCAGCGGAATTTTTTTTTTTTTTTTTTTTTTAGAGTTTCACTCTTGTTGCCCAGGCTGGAGTGCAATGGCATGATGTTGGCTCACTGCAACCTCTGCCTTCCAGGTTCAAGTGATTCTCCTGCCTCAGCCTCCTGAGTAGCTGGGACTACAGGCACGTGCCACCATGCCCAGCTAATTTTGTATTTTTAGTAGAGACAGGGTTTCACCATGTTGGCCAAGCTGGTCTCAAACTCCTGACCTTGTGATCCACCCACCTCGGCCTCCCAAAGTGCTGGGATTACAGGCGTGAGCCACCGTGCTCAGCCCGGAATATTATTTTTTAACTCATCATTCTTCCAGTTTTTTGTTGTTGTTGTTTTGAGATGGAGTCTCGCTCTGTCACCCAAGCTGGAGTGCAGTGCGATCTCAGCTCACTGCAGCCTCTGCCTCCCGGG